ACCCACCTATAATGGGCTTAGATTATTGGGAGGTCCTATAAAATGCCCTTTAGTAGTATAGGGTCCCAAATTGGGGGTTCTACTTTCTAGACCTTTTGGGGGGTCTGGGTTAGCGTGGTAAAGGTTTACGGGGTTTAGGGATTTAGGGTTTGTAAGGGTCTTAGGGTAGGGTTAGGATTCAAAAGCTTAAGGTCCTTTTGTCGCAGACGCTTTCCTGATGGAATATGAGAAAAATCGCATGAAGAGAGATTTCCTTTAGAGTGAGCCGTTCAACCTGGCGCCGTGTTCGCTACACACCTCTGAGTGCCGAGTCTGTGAAAGCGGGTCAGTTGCAATGCTACCCCTAGAATCCCAGGTGCTTATATGGTGGCTGACTGTCGACAAAGCCGCCGACAAGTCTTTAATATAGTAACCCTAAACCCTAAACCCTGAACCCTCGTCTAAGAACCTGGGAGCTGTCCAGTGTATGTCATGCCTCATGACTCTACACCGCCCCTGAGGTTTCAAGCCGTCCCGTGCTTGTGGTAGGATTCCATTTCCCAATCTTCAACCGGAGCCCCAACACAAAAAAAAACAGCACACGTACTCCTGGGATCTATTGCATTTTGTGGTTTCCAATACCTGCAATGGCTCAACACCGTAAAGACTTGAACAATCTTACCCTAAGGATCCATGTACCCAAATAGTATACACTTTGGCCCCAAAGTATCTACACAGGGACTACATTAAGGCCAAAGTATATACTATTTGGGTACATGGACCTTCAGGGTTAAACATGGGTCACTTACCTCCAATACGGTGGCAAGACCCAACACTCTGGTGCGCCTGGAGAATGGACACGGCGATTCGCAGGATCACCGTCAGGCCTTCGCACATGATGACGTCCCAGAGGATCATCACCTCACGTGGTTTCTAAATCCAGGAGGATCTAAAAAGTTAGCACCTCCACCAAGTTGGGACCGTACACTACGAAGAGTACGGCTACGTAGTTTACAACCTCAAAAAATCCAAACCCCTGGAAGGATGTAAAAAGAAGATCTTTTAAAGGGGTTCCGAGAAAGTAACCATATTGCTGCTCGTAGTATAGGGTCCCAAATCAGAGGCTCTACGTTCCAATGTAGGCATCCCTTAAGGGGGGTTCCTATACAGTACCCTTTAGTAGTATAGGCTCCCAAGTTAGGGGTTCTACTTTCTAGATCCTAAACCCTAAACCCCTCATAAAAAAAAAACCCTAAACCCTAAACCCTAAACCCTAAAGCCCTACAGATCCCTTTTAGGAGCCCTTAGAGATCCTTTCGGGGGTCTGGGTAGAAGCCCAAGAGCTGGAAACCTCAATAGCCTCAATCCTTAAGAATCCTTTATAGGGAATCCCAGCACTAATTGTCCTTAATCCGGTATCCAACTTTTTGGAACTTTTTGGGGGTTACCATGAACCCTGAACCCTAAGCACCAAGGGTTCAGAGTTGAGGGTTCCGGGGTTTGGAGTGGCTCTGGGGTGCGGGTGTGGGACAAGTTGAATTCTCAGATTTTTTCAATTAAAGAAGCCGGAATTGGAACTCCCCAACACAAGGCCTATCTGAAGCCATGAAATGCAACATCTGTAGGTCTTGCTAACCTGATTGAGGCGTGCGTTCCGAAGCCGTTTGTGGTCCTTCATGAAAGCCCTTAAATTTTACACCCTCACCCCTAAACCTAAACCCCGAAACCCTTAAACCCTTAGGCGCTAAACGCCCTAAACCCTAAACCCTACACGTTTAGGCCCGACACCCCCCTAAACCCTAAAGAAGCCTTAACCTGACCAGGACACTGGCCTGGCCCCTTTTAAGAGCGCCGGGAGCTGCAGGGATATTCGATGCAGAAGCTGTGAATCCAAAACAACGAAGATTGTGGGAGTTAGGATTAGGGGGGACCCTTGGGGTTCGGAGTTTGGGATTCAGGGTTAAGGATTTAGGGTTTAGGGTTACCCTTGGGGTTCGGAGTGGAGGATTTAGGGTTTAGGGTTTAGGTGGACCCTTGTTGTTCGGAGTTGAGGATTTAGGGTTTAGGATTTGGGGTTTAGGGTGTAGGGGGACCCTTGGGGTTCGGAGTTTAGGATTTAGGGTTTAGGGGGTCCCTCGAGGTATAGACCCTCCCGAAAAGAGGTCCTGTTAAAGAGAGCCATCAGTAAGGTTAAAAAGGGTCCCCTTTAAGGGGTCTCCCGAATACGGTTGTAGTATTGTTATAAAGTTATAAATATCAGAAATTGTCATTTCGATTGTTGATGCCATCATTCGTCACAATCATATTGTGATATTGCGGTTGTTCTTGTTACTGAGATGGGTGCTTTACGCTCAGCTAACTAATGTCCCAAGTGTTGCCGGAACGACTTTCCTGCTGGGACTTCAGACCCATGCGTGGGTACTCAGATCCCGGGAGTATCTAAAACATGGAACCCCCACGAGAAAAGGCTTATCTCAAGCCATACTGGTCGGATGCATTGGGTGGCGTTCCAGTGTTTGGATCCTTCAAGGGGGTCTGCGGTACCTTATACATTGTGCCACATCATTCTACCCTAACAAACCCTAATTCAACTGTCATGATATTGAGGAGCTCGACGGGTTAATATTACTTTCTATCTAGGCCAGCGTGTAAGTCATCCGCTCGGTTTCACACCTTGAAATCCTGTGGCTAGTCAGGCTTCATAGAACTTCACTTCTAAGCGGTCGGGCCTGATTGCAAGGTAGAGGTTGGGGTAATATAGGGGGTCTTGATAACTAGAATAGGGTTCTGGGGCATATTCTACCAGAATCATAATAAGAAACTCCCAAAGTATAGGCAGACATGAAAGTGCCCTAAGAGGTTCCTAATTATAAATCCACTATAAAGGAGCCCAAAGCCCAGACCCCCGGAAGGATCTAGAAAGTAGGACCCCTTCTTTGGGACCCTATGCTACTAAAGGGTCTGAATAGGAACCCCTAAAAAGGTCCCGGGGGTCTGGGAAGCCCTATTCCAATTAGTAAAGCCCCCTATAGCGAACCTTCATCCTGATGCCTTTTGTCACATTTCCATTCAGGACTCAAGACAATGTCGAGATATATAGAGTACCCAGAATTGAGGGGTTTATAGGGTTCAGGGTTTAGGAGTTAGGGTTTAGGGTTTTGTGTTTGGGGGATTTAGGGTTTAGGATCCAAAAAAATAGATCCCTTAATGGGGGTTCCCATAAACAGCCCTTTAGTAGTATGGGGTCCCAAATTAGGGCTTCTACTTTCTAGATTCCCCCGGCGGTCTGGGTAGTGGAAGCCTAAACCCTAAACCCTAAACCCTAAACCCTAAACCCTAAACCCTAAACCCTGAACCCTACACCCTACACCCTAAACCCTAAACCCAAAAACCAACAACCATAAGCTACTGGGGACCTTCATGGGCTTTCGGCTCCTGTACGGCCAGGAGGTAGAACATCTTCGTAGCAATGCAGCTGGGGGGCTTTACAGCGTTTTAAAAAGAGTTCATAGGGCGTGTAGGGGTTATGGCGTTCGTAGGGCTTAGGGAGTTTAGGGTTTGACGGGTAATATAGGGGCCTAAATAATTACCTACACTATTCTGGGGCTCCGCATTTTCACTATAGTATAATGGGCCCCCAAAACCCTATCCTAATCATTAAGGCCCCTATATTAGGCTTTTTGGGGCTGAGCTCCGGACCATTGAGATGGGAAAGCAGTTGATGAAAAGCGTTAGGAACCACTGGTGCAAATACCTGGGACTTGCAAGGAAATGGCGTTTAAAACCCCAAAACGCTAAACCCCTAAACCCTGAACCCTAAACCCTATAATTAAACCATAAACCCTATAAACCCTATAAACCCTATAAGCCCTATGAACCCTAAACCGCAAAAACCCACCCAAAGCCGAAGGATCTCGATTCCGGGGTCCCCTAAACCGTTAAGATTTAGTTTCAGAAGCTCACAAATGGGTAGTTCTCTACATTAGGGCCTTTCTTAGGCCCCCAATATAGTACGGTACCCTTATACAAAGGATCCCAAAAGGGACCCAAATCTAGAAAACTACCCATTTAGTTTCAGGAGCTCCCCACTAGCCAGGAGCTGCTGGTGTAAGTACTAGGCGAAAGCGTTCGGGTAAGGCTGTGGTTCTTTCCCAGACCCCCGGGAGGATCCAAAAAGTAGATCCCTTAAGGGGGTTTCCTATAAAGACGCTTTAGTAGTATAGGGTCCCAAATTAGGGGTTCTACTTTCTAGATCCTTCCGGGGGTCTGGGTTTAGGGTGGTAGGAACTTGAGGAAGAAACCCGGTTTAGGGTTTAGGTGCGCAGTAGGGTTGTGGGTTGCGGTTTCAGGGTTCGTAATGATGTTCGTATTTCTGGATCCTGTCATTCTGCATTGTGGACGCAGCGGCAACTCCCTTGGACTTTTCCAACAAACCTCGGAAGTACCCTGTAGAAGATATCTTAGCTACCCTCAACCCTAAACTCCTAAACTCTAAACGCCTAAACTCCTAAACCCTAAACCCGTAATCCCACTCATCTCCGAACCCTAAGCCGATGTAGTTGAAGGGTCTGAGTAGGGATGAAGTCCAACGACCCCCAAAACCCTTTTTCAGTCATACGTTCTGATTTGGCCATACAGTCCCATAAAAAGTAAAACTTACAAACTCAACATGCCTCGTCTAAAATATATGACTTGTGCGGACAGATCTCTTGTGTATCTGTTGCTGCAGCATAGCGCCCAAAGAAAACACACCACGACACACTATTGGTCGCAATACCTTCATTGGCTGTAGAGGTTTCACCACTTTCAGTTTATCGCTACTCCCCTTTAAACTTGAGGAGGTCAGCAAACACTCCAGGAACCCTAAACCCTAAACCCCCAAACCCTAAACCCTAAATCCCTAAACCCCTAAACCCTGAACCCCTAAACCCTAAGCCCTGCACCTCTAAATCCTAAACCCCCAAAAAACCCAACAACCCAGCGGATCCGATTTTGCTTTGCCATGCCCGGGTCGGGTTTGAGGATCAGAAAGGTTCCAGCTGCTCAACTGGCAGGGTTCTACGGTTTAGGGCTCTAAGATTTAAAGTTCTAGGGTTTAGGGTTCTAGAGTTCCGGGTTCTAGGGTTTCGGGTTCTAGGGTTTCGGGTTCTAGGGTTCTAGGGTTTAGAGCCCTACTCCTACAAACTATAGGTTTCCAGCACCCTTTACCCAGACCCCCGGGAAGATCTGGAACGTAGAACCCCTAATTTGGGACCCTATCCGACTAAAGGGCATTCTATAGGACCTCCCAATAAGGGATCTACTTTTTGGATCCTCCCGGGGGTCTGGGTTAGGGATGTAGAGATTCTGTTGATGGACAAAAATTCTGCATGACCCAAATATAGTACAGTACCATAAACCCCATAGTTTAGGTATCCCTAAACCCTAAACCCTAAACCCTAAAATGAGTCATGCAGGACTTTGTCCATCAACCCGTTTCAGGCCTGGCCTAGACCCCGGAGCCGAAATCACCCACAAGGCCCCGCTGGCGTGCGTTTGATTAAAAACCCAGGAGCCGTGGGAGGATGCACAAAGTAGATCTAAAGCCCTATAGATCCCTTTCAGGAGCCCTTAAAGGAACCCCAAATTAGGGGCTCTACTTTCTGGCTCCTTCCGGGGGTCTGGGAAGGTGCAGGTTTCGAATTGGGTTTTGGGCCGCGCCCTATCCAGCAGAGCAGGCACATGGACCGCCAAGTCGTGCGGGTCGACGGCGGCTCCGTCGAATCGTGTGTACGATATTATGATGCGGAACTCGTTTGTTTCTGCAGCCACAGTATTCTGATAGAGGTGCAGCAGGAAATGCACAATGGCTGGGCCGTGTAAGCCCCGGTAGGAGATAAGCGTTGGTGTGCTGCCTGTCACAAAGGTGTTAAACAACGCCATTCACATAGCGCCAGCGCGGAGTCCTGTTTAACCGCTCCGCCTCCGCCCCAAGGTTTAGGGTTTAGGGTTCCCTTTGAATAAGAATTGCCGCACCCCTAAACGCCTGACCCGGGGTTTAGGGTTTAGGGGTTTAGGGTTCAGGTTTTGAGTTAAGGGTCCCTAAACCCCAAAATTCAAAACCTCCCCTCATAAACCCGAACTGTCGGTGAGGTGCTGGTTGGGGGTTTTGCCGTCTCGGGATTGGGCACACAAGAACGATTAATGAAGGAACATCTTAGAGCACTGTGACATGGTATGGTCTGTTACCACATGACCTCCTCTTATAAGCTAAGTTACGATATGTCACGATGTACAGATTGAACCAAAACCGCAAACCCCAAACCCTTGCACCAAGCGACACAGCCGGCTGCACATTCTGCTTGATGAAGTGCTCACGCCTTGCCGCAACTCACTGACGACATGGGTTTAGGGTTTAGGATTTAGGGGACTTAGCAAGAAAGGTTTAGGTCAAGGGTTTAGGGCCGTCAGAAGACAACCCATAGGTGGCAAAACCCGAAGCGCTCAACTACAAGCGCCATTTAATTCTATGTCCCTTGCTCCGTCAAGTACTGTACGGGCCATAATTTCAACATGTGGGGAACTATTTATAGTATAGCTGTCTGTCAAATACACTGGCATACCAATGACAATCAATCAGATACCAGCATAAAATACTTACCATACAACCCAGAACCCCAAAACCCAACACCCAATATCCCTAAACGACCCTGAACCCTAACCCTAAACCCAAAACCTAAACTCTAAAACCCAAGGCCCTAAACGCAAAATCCAAAACCTTGAACCCTAGCTCCTCACCCCTAAGCCCTGAACCCTAATCCTCAACCCTGCCTTTAGGGTTTAGGGTTTATGGTTTAGGGGTTTAGGGGTTTAGGGTTTAGGGTTTAGGGTTTATGGTTTAGGGGTTTAGGGGTTTAGGGTTTAGGGGTTAGGGTTGCGCCCTTCAGTAGAACCCAAGTAAACGCTAGCAAGGACCAGACCATAAGGTCCCTAAACCCTAAACCCTAAACCCTAAACCCTAAACCCCTGTAGGAGAGGCTACCCGGCGGGTGCCGGTAACCCCTCAACCCTCAGCAGGACTCGGCCTTCTTTAGGGTTTAGGGTTTAGGGTTTAGGATTTAGGGTTTAGGGTTCTTGCTGCTTCCCAGACCACCGCAAATATCTAGAAAGTAGAACCTCTGATATGGGAATCCTATACTATTATTGGGTACTTTATAGGAACCCCACGCTGAGGGCTTTAGGGTTTTAAGTAAGTAGGTAAGAAGTAGACTCAGTACGCTAACAGGGGTCCTTAGTCGGTTTATGAAACTTATAGGTCGAGAAAACAGCTCCTTACCAAGTCCCCCGACCCCTACTAGTCGGTTCAGGGTGTAGGGTTTAGGGTTTAGGGTTTCGGGGGGGATTAGGGTTGAATGTTTCGCGCTATCACGCCTTCTCTAAAGTGTTGCTAGAGCCTCATAAGACTCATAAGTATAATGCGGCGCAGGCCGAAATCGACACGATACTCGTAATAAAGGGTCGAAGGACTTCCTGTACAAGGAGACCTTAGTAGTATAGGGTCCCCAAACGGTTTCTTCTGGGGGATCTGCTTTCCAGATCTTCCCCGGGTCTTGGAGGTATCTCATCTCTACCAGGAGATTTCAATTTTCGGACACAGAATGACATACCTCCGGAAGAATCTAGAAAGTAGAACCCCTAATTTGGGACCCTATACTACTAAAGCGTCTTTATAGGAACCCCCTTTAAGGGATCTACTTTTTGGATCCTCCCGGGGGTCTGGCATGACATCGTATGCGCGGTAAGCCCAAACCCTAAACCCTAAACCCTAATCCGAGGGACGACATGGTAGCCGAACTTAGAGGTTCATGGGACTTGGTAACTAGGGTTCTAGGATTTAGGGTTTTGGGTTCTAGGGTTAGGGTTTTAGGGTTTAGGGTTTAGGGTTTTAGGGTTTAGGATTTAAGCTTTATGCGACTTAGTAACTAGGGTTATAAAAAAGGTAGCTATACTTATAGTTGCTTGTAACCCCAATTAAGGTACTTATAACTGTACTTCTTAAGTCCCATGAACCTCCAAAAACTCCTTGGAAAAGGGTTTAGGGTTCAGGGTGACCCTCTTCTGCAATAGCCGGACCCCAAAAAAGTTCAACCTTTCTAGAACAACAAACCACATTCATATGGCCAGCAAATATTTAAAGTTCTCCCATGGGCTGTCGAAGGTGAAACCCTAAACACTAAACTGTAAGCACGAATGGGGCGCCCTAGCTAAAACCATGAAGCGGCGAAGACAAAAATACTCCGAGGCCCGGGCAGCTCCGGCAGTGACTCGGCGACGAGGTTCCTTCGTTTTGTTTTTTGGGTTTAGCGTTTAGGGTTTAAGGTTTAGGGTTTAGGGTTTAGGGTGTTTAGGGCCTAAGGAGGTTCCTTTGATATGTCTTTTGGGTTCCCAGACCCCCGAAAGAATCTAGACAGTAGATCCCTTAATGGGGGGTTCCCATAAAGACCCTTTTGTAGTGTAGGATCGCAAATTAGGGGATCTTCTTTTCAGATCCTTCCATTTGCATTTGTTGCTGATTTTTTAAAGGTTCAGAAATCTCTAGCATTGAATTTGGCTTTGGAGAGTTCCCTAAACCCTAAACCCTCAACCGTTACTCTGGCTTCTCAGGGTTTTTGTGAGGGTTCTTCTAAGGGTGCAAGCCAAAAGGCTCTCAGCTAAAGAAGACTGGGGATAAGGGTTTAGGGGGTTTGAGGGGTGCAGGGCTACGGGTTTTGGGTGGGTGGGTAGGGCTTAGGACTCAGGGTCGTGGGGTTTGGGTTTTTTTGGGGATTCCGGGTTCCACAAACTCCCAATCTCTGAACCTCTTCAAGGACTAAAGGATGCAAGGAAGGCCTAGTGTAGGGGCCTGAATGATTAGAACAGGGTTGTGGGGTATACTATGCTATACTTATAATTATAGTACGGAACCCCCTAAAACCGTAGAGGTAACTGTTTAGGCACTAGCCCAGTTACAACGTTTCTAGCTCTTTTGCACACAATCAGTCACGCACACACACAGAGTTTTAAGGCCCTAAACCCTAAAGCCTAAACCCCCCTGCGAACGCGAGGCACGCATACTGCACAACCCAAACAGGCCTCTCGCTCGGGCAACCATGGCAAGGGTGTGGCTTTAGGGTTTTAGGGGTTTAGGGTTTAGGGTTTAGGGCACACGCAGCTCACCTTCAAGGGACAACTAACTGTGGGGTTTTAAAGGATACATTTAGTGAGACGATCGGGGGACTTGGTACAAGGTCATCCAGAAGGTCATAAGTAGTAAGTAGTACAACCCGAAGCAGGGCACTCATTACCATGCTCAGATCTCCTGAACGACCCAACAGAAGAACCAT